CTCCCTTCTTTTTGTTCTTTTTTTTTTTTTGGCAGGGATGCCGCCGACCCGCGACAGGTTGGTGCTGACCAGCCGGCAGGTCAGCTGGTCGGCAGTTGATCAGTCAAGGGGCACCGACCATCGGGGTATGCAACACTGCATATCATCCAATATTCAACGTCGTCCAATTTCAATTTGTTGAACTGATCTTTACTTGATACGTTATTATCTGATAATAATGAGCCTCTTTCCATTTTAGTTTTCTTGAACTGCTTCTTAGTTGTTTCAACAAGCCTCCTTAGCGTGAGAGCGTGGCTGTTGGACTGGCCTACCTTGCTCCTTCCCAGAGCAGGAAGAGTGGTTGTGGATCTTCCTTTCACACGCTCTCTCAGGGCGGCCAAGCTTGTCACTGCAGTGTCCGTTTCGACAACTCGCATCAGATAGCAGCTGAAATCCACCATCTCAAAACGCCTCCGCTGTCCCAGAAGGTAGATGATGCTACAAGCCCCCCACGATAGAGCATCTCCATACTTCTCCCAATGTGTCTCTTGCCCTGGCTCCGGCTGGTCAAGACAGAAGATCTGATTCATAGACAAAACGACCATCAAAATAAGAGTCAATGTGTTAGGCCTTCACCGTCCAAACCGAGAAGGAAAATGAGGTATCAGTAGAAGTGAGGTGAGGGACAGCCTGCCTGATGCTCCCGGCATGGACAAGGAGCCGGGTCTGTAAGAACCCAGTTATAATAAAATAAAATAAAGGAAAAAAGGGTGTGGGACAGCCTTCACTTAATAGCTGGAGAAGGTCCATTGAGTCTTCACCTAGAGGCTAGAGCACATCTGTTCTCGAGTTTCAAGATATAATCGGGCAGCTTGTGAATGGGCTGAGAGGAACAGAGCAGAGCTGATTTCCAGAATGTATTTTTAAGGTAGCTGATGCTACCGTCTTCACCCAAATAGAACGGCCGGTCATAGTCGTATCGGGTACAATTTCGAGTCCAGACACGGCTATAATGACCGGGCGTTCTATGCGGGTGAAGACGGTAGCCCTGGATGCCCTTTGGTATAGGCTGTCACGGCTGTTAGTCCTCCCTGATGGGAGCAACCAATGCTGTTGAGGGTTCCCCCTTGCTGTAAACAGGGGAGGTGTGTATGGGGTTTCAATGTAAATTTTCTGACGTGCCGGGGGGTTGGGGAACCCAGGCTCGTGTGCCCCACTTGAGCAGGTTTACTTCTGGCTTCAATTATCCACGAGTCCCTGCCATCCGATCTCAACATCTCACGGCCACACTGTGATCACGTTGAAAAATACTCGAAATGACGAAACCACAACTAAACCTTTCCAAGTGGAGCACGGACCCCCGCTGGTGCTTCCGCTCAAATACAATGGAGCCACGGCTGCCACGCCCTTTCCTTCTTTTTGTTTTCTTTCCAAGGTGTGGGACAGCCCGTAATCCCCCTTATGGCTCTGTGGCACACAAATGTCAATTTCGTTGATAAACAGACGATGTTTTTCTGGGCACCCGGGCACCCAACTTGTGCCTGGATATACGCGGGGCAGGGTTCCGGGCAGCCCCAGCGCAAAAAAAAAATAAAAAAAATCAGGAAAAACATATGTTGTGTGGAATTCTAGGCAACCAGAGTGGCCCGGGACCAGCCCCGTCAAGCCAAAAAAAATTAAAAAATTGATAGTTTTTAACTTTTTATTATTATAATATTATTTAAATTTGGTAAGGAATTTCGATGCGTTCCTGAGGCAAAATTTGAGACATAGTTTTTTTTTTTTTGATTTTTTTTTTTTTTTTTTTTTTTTTCTGGGACCTTCTTTGGTCCTTGCGCAGCCGGGCCGCCCAGGCAAACAAGGTGACCCGGACGGCCAAGCTAGTAGCCTAGGTAGAATTCCAGAGCAAACGACTTTTGGCTGAGGTCGCATCATAATTCCTCACAGAATCGGAGATGAAAAAGAAAATAACAGAATCACACGAAGGCACCCCCCTTTAAACCCCTTCAGCCCCTTAATAAACCAATTTATACCCCTTTTCCCCCCCTTGACAGCCAACTCTTAAAAAAAAAGGAAAGAGCCCGGATTTGGGTTCCTCTGGGAGCGTGCAGAAAACCAAAAAAAAAATTCTTAAAAAAGTATTTTTTTTTTGGCAATGTCCAGGTACCCCGGGCGTCATGCCCGGGTGCGCGGCTGGGTGTGACAATCTTCCGACGATGAGCTCAAATCTGTACGAAATTACGAATACAACAGATGATCTGAGGGGCTATCCCCCTCCTTTTGGGGGGAAAAGAAGGGTACAAGCCACAAAAACTACGGCCGCTCGCCCTAGCCAGCGACCGCCGAGCTGTTTGGGATCCTCAGAGACTTCACGCAACGCATCTCACTTGTTTCATTAATGAGACTGAAAGAAAGAAAGAAAGAAAGCTGCAAGCCACTCACTTTGCGTCTACTAATTATGCTGCTCAAGCTACTGCCGAGACTGTAGCGCGTGCTGCTTTTCCATTAGGAATTAAGTCAGCTGAAGTGAGAATCAAAGGTTTAGGTTATGGAAAGCCTTTGGCTTTACATGGTCCC